TTCTAAATTTTTGTGGTTCTTTTTGTGCGAGATAAAATGTTGTTTACGCCATGAAAACGTTTTTTTAGAGGCGGCCTTCAAAATTGTATAAACCAGTCAAAACATTACTAAAACTATTAAAAACATTTTTTATATCTTCTCCAATACTAATAATTTATGTATCTATTTATATACCATAAAACAGAAAAATGTTATATTAATTGTTTTAAAAAAATTCTGATAAATATCTTTATTTTTCGACCTTTAATTTCGCCATTTCCAGCTAAAGGAAATACGATGCAAATTAAAATACACAGGTACCCGTGCATTAAGTATCACACGGATTAAAATTCAGATTCTTTTATTATACGTGTACACGTGTATTTGCATACACGTGAAATAGGGACCTCTAACAGAAACCATTCACTATGACACATTTCCACCATGATTCATCGAAAGAATCTTAACGTGCTAATACAGATACAATGAGCCGCAGAATGAAAACTTGTCTGTCAGTAATCTTCTACCGAAGCAGATGAGTTTTACCACTCTCTTGATAATCTTTATCGTCTCGCAACAATATTGTTCCATCTTCGCTCGTCCTCGCGCACAATGTATTTGCACGATGGCCTCAGGCTTGAGCTACTCGAGTCAATTCCGGCTATAATAGACGGCATGTGGATCGTGATAATTGATACTCGTTTAGTGACTAATTCTGTCTATCTGTTTGTTGGCCGACTGCCTTGCAAAAGTTTCCACGACACGGATCTCTTCCGTTTACGACCGACTCGATTTTTGGCTTCTGTTTTCAAACGATCCGACACTTTATCATTTGTTTGCGAAAATATTGGTTAAAAGTAATCTGGTTCGTGTTCGATTAAAAATAGGAATGTCTAAAGTAAGTTCGCCCGAATAATTCGTCGATCTCTTGTTTACCGCTCGCTGGATAACAGCGGCGCCAACAGGCCGCTTGTTTTTCTCAGCTGGACCAGCCGGTGCATTCACACTGTGGCTGCACCAGAAGCGCATCGCCCTTTCCCTCGGCGTCCCTCGACGTCGCCGCATGCCTGTACCTTCGTCGACCTCAGCCTTTCATCCTCGTATCCCGGTCCCTACCCTTTCAGCTTCACGAAGGTCTTCTCTACAACTTCGAACACCAATGAACTCGAAACGCTTCTCGATATTCCATCGATTCCACGAGGAAAATCTGTTCCTTTCAATTTATGAAACACTCGATTTAATCGATGTCAATTGTTAATTATTCGTTGTACGCGCGTGGATTTAGAATAACTAATTATACAGGGAGACTCTGACAGTATCTGGTGCTAACAAGATTTAAACAACGGCTTATCGGCTGTTCCAGACTACTGTACGACGCGATTAGAAGCGGTATAAAGAAATTTTTTGTCGCTCCCGAGCTCCGATAGCATTCAGGATAATTGATATTTATTCATCTCGGATCGGGATGAAGGATAACAAGTTTTAACGCGAAAATTCTATTGGATTCGTGAAACGATCCTAACGGTGTCAGGTTGTTCGATGAGAAATTGTTTAACGATTGTCTGGATCTCTATTCCAACTCCTCGGGTTGCCTCTTAATCCTGATAACGTCTCTCAAAGGATTTCGCCAAGGGTTGAACTTTTTGCGCATGACACCCGAGTACGATCACCCTCGTGGAACCCCACAAGCTCTCCCTTACAGACCCTCGGCACACGTGAAAGACCTCCTCTATATGTGTGTTCAAATGTATAAGAGAGCCAGTGCCGCGCAGTTCTTTATTCAAATTCCTCATCGCGCTTAGACCAGTCGGTATGACAAGTCGTTCGGGAGTCAGAGTTCGTTTTGGATCTTAAGTGCGGTTTAAAGTTCCCTAATTTGAAATAAAAGCTTACTTTTGATTTTGAGTGCGGTTCAAAGACGTTTCTTTTACGAGTTAAAGTTGTTATTTTTATTTCGAGTACGGCAGACAAAATATTTTTCCTCTGAAGAAATTTTCATCGAAGTTAAACAAATTATCGAAAGAAGAAGACGGTTGGAGTTTCCAAGGAAATCCTCGTGTTTTCCATCGAGAAGTCTGCGCTCGCTGGTTCGAACGTTGAAACACTTGGTGGAAAGCAGCGAGGAAGCCAATCCGGTTGGTCGCTTTCGCCGCATATGGCGGCGAGCAAAGTTATAAATAATGCCCATCGCCCTCCTGCGTATTCACCTTTACATAATGACCGACAGAAGACGGACGACCGAATCTCGGATCGTATGTCGTGAAAAGAAAGAAGAAAAACCCCTATGAAAGCTTGCGTGACGATCATAATATCTCTTCGAACGATATCTGGATACCTTGCAAGTGCGATTTTCCGCTTCTATGAGTTCCGGCCACCTTCCTCTGCATATTTTCGACACTCGATCACACCTTCCTTAACCTCGGATGAATCGGCACGAATCTGCCCAAGAGAAGAAGGTTCATTTCTTTGGACAAAGTGTTCATCGCCAAAGAAGCGGATTTTACTAACAAAAACAGCATCCAGTTAACCGATTAAATGATGAATCAGTGAATAAGCAACGTAGGTTCTCTTTCATTCATCACGATTCGCTAAGGATACGATGACGTACGTCAATTTCCTTCGCGAACGTGATCAACACTTGGAACAAAGTTCGTTTCATCGATAAAGATATCGCGAAAAAGGTAGACTGGTTCGAGGCATGATCCGCGTATTTAAGATCGACGATAGCGGTACTCGTGCACGAATCGTTCCAGTTTTCATTCCCCGGAGAGCAGGTCTCGAAAATGTCGACGATCCTGTTGCAGTGCGTTGGACATTGCTTCCACAGAAGGAGAATGCGTACAGGTTCGTGTCCGTGCTAGTTTCCAACGAAAAAGCTTGTTTCTAGAACGCACTCGTCCAGTTTTCTAAGCGTTTGGACACTGTACCAAAGTGGATCACAAGTTCCTTCTGCTCCTTTAGACGTTAAGAACCGTACTCGGTAGGATTAGCAGACTGGAATTCGATTTATCGTTAGTCTGGCCTAATTTCTCTGAACATTAATCCATTCGAGATTAGGATCTCAGAGTAATTCAGACGTTTCTTCGTGTGAGATTAAATTGAATGTTTATACTCCAAGTAAAGCATGATACACCTTTCTCAGAATTTCAAGGTGTGTAGGGTAGACCGGGGATGGTAGTAACACTTTGACTTTAGAACACGATTGTGCAAAAACTATTAAATTTACAATAAAATTTCATACACCAAAATCTGACATAGTTACCAGACATTATTAAGTCATAGCAGTTTCGCTCTATGACAAGTAATATCCAAGTTATTAATAAAAAATGGAGACCAAGAAAAGTGTTAGAATCGTCCCTGACCCCCGGTCGGTTGTAACAGTGCATGAAGTCGATAGTAACACAAACTTATTTTTACAAAGTTAAAACATTTATTGATTTTAATTATAATAATAAAAGAAAGTAAAATTTATAACTAATTATTCGATATCGTAATTATAGTAAATGTAAGTAACGTTTTGGTTTCCTAGGCCTACTTCTTACATTCAGTACCTTGCGCTCATTTTTCATTTGGTGTGATTGTGGCATAAAGTTCCATTTAAAGAAGCAAATAATATTCTTTATCTGCTTGGTCACTGGAAACGTTATAACCGACCCTATCTGCTAATGTTACAATCGACCCCCTCCGTGTTTCTGAACTTGTTATAAATTTTGACGAACAAGACTCTTAAAATTGCTAAGTAACGATCAAATTAAAGATTAAAGAAGAAAACAGGCACATAATTACAAAGAAAGTATTGATATTACAATTTTAACTCTTTGGGGATGGAGCATTTTTAAGCTTGCACAGAGTATTATTAATTGTAAGTAAAAGAAGTAATAATTTCATCCTTCAAAGTATGCGTTATAAATCCTTACTGTCTATACTTATAGCTGTTTTGCATTAAGAATATAATGCAATATATACGGAATTATAAATTAGTATGATAATTATGTCCGCAAAGGGTTAAATTAGTAATCCGGTTCAATGGACAAAAGAGCACACGATACGGATTTTGACTCATGATATATCGTTTGTATTGGCGAGACGAATTCAACTGTGTATAGTAAAAAGTGGGCAAATGATTTTTTCGTGAGTTATTTACATAAAACTATAATATTGTCAGCGATAAAAGTACAGGTAATTCTGTATTATTCAGGTAGTATGTACTTGGATCTATTTTTTATGTCCTACAGGAGTTCGTGTGGAGGCAAAAGACAAGCCTCTGGCTCCATCAAAATGATCAGAATTACCTGTACTTTTATCGCTGACAATATTATAGTTTTCAGTAAATAACTCACGAAATATTGATTTGCGTCTCGTCAATAAAACAATTTGATATATCATACGTCAAAATTCGTTTCGGCTGCTCTTTTAGGGCCCGCGGGCCAGATTCGGCCCTCCAAAGATTTTTATCCGGCCCCCGACTTTTATTTATAAATATTTAATATTAGAAATATTAATTTTATACAATTTTATGATTTAGTTGTGAATACACGACAACGATTCTTCTATTGTTCTATTGTGATTTGGTACATTTTAATAGATATTTTCCATTATAAATTCCAATATAAACTATATTTATTTACACATGCAATGTAAAGTAATGTATTAATAGAATTTCAATATGAATGTTTTTAAAAATTTCCCATGTTTCTCAAAAAGTTTGGAGACCCCTGCTTTAGTACATCGAAAAATTATTTTATTCATTATACACGTCTATTGCATATCTATACTGCTAGGATATTGATGAGTATATTCCAAATATCATTTTTGATTATATATCCAAAATTTATGTTAATATCTGTTCATTGCTTTAAAATATTTAACGTGTTATTGCCGCTCCTGGTCTACCCTATATGTGAGTCACTGTACTGTAAGATCCGCTTATATTTTGATATTATAGACTACTCATTTCTCAGAAAAAAGTTTTCGAATCAGCGAATAATTTCTAATGGAAAATAATGTTGTTATCGTTGCAGGTATGCACTGCCTAGGTGCGGTGACAGGAGGCATTCCCAGCCCAAATGGGGCTGGCGGTCGGGGTGGCATTCTCAGCGTGTTCCGAGCCCTTGGAGTCCTAGTGTGCGAAGGGAGGATTCAGGGCCCTCCACGTGGTTACAAAGAGGGCCCACACTGTGCAGCTCCTATGCAACCAGCTCCCAACGACCATGTGTGTGACGAAGATAATTACTTGGTAAGCTGAGATCACCAACTTTCTGTTTCCACATTTGTCTCGAGTACCTTGCATCACTGGGGAGGGAACAAATATTTCTTAAAAACCACTTTGCCTGTGCAGTGCGATCGATATCTTGTGTTGGTTCGAGAGATCGCGGACCGTGTCACGATTGGTTCATCCCTGTGCATCGAAGTAGTGTTATGTAGCGATTGTCCATGTGGTTTGGCAAAGTCGGCGAGCAAGAATCCGATCTGTACCGTGCCGTCCTTATCGATCTCGCCATGGCAACAAGCGTCAGAGATGCTGCTCGAGTACTGGTGTATCTGTGCAGTTCCCAGCAAGTGGGTACCATTAATTACTTTTAGAAATTTCCAAAGTTTCCAGCAGATGTTCCAAGGATTGACTGTTTAACGCGATCGTCTGTTGTTGACGTTTAGGAGTCCAGAGACCATGAACTTCTATGGGGTGTATCAGGCAGTTCGTTCCCGGCTTCACTTCAGCCAGGTGGCTGCTTGGTGGTCCAGGAGCAACGGGGCTGAACCCTGTTACATCGCGACAAGAGTGGTGCCGCATAACGAGGAGAATCTTCGAAAGTTCCGGGATACACCTGTGGAACACACGTTCCCTTTCGCTGGCAATGGCGATGGAAATTCTATAAAGGTAACCAACTCGTCTCCTTTCTTCTTGGTCGTCGATTCAAAGTCCAGGAACATTGTCATCGATTTAACGATTCATTCTATTTGTTCAGTTGATTTCGCAAACATTGTTTGTTCGATTCCAAGGAGTCTCTAACACTGTCTTAACTCGTTTAGATTGATCTATCCGTTACGTTTTTAAAATGTGTTAGAAATGGTGTTAGATGAAAGAGAAGATGCGCTTAATCGACCCCGAGGATTCTTCATGAAGCAACATGTTTTCACGTTGAGCGCACGATACTACTTGGTTTCACTCGCGATAAAGGCGAGAAGAGGTCAATGTTCCTCGAACCGTTCATGCAATTCGCACGGTGGTTCTCGTCCACGTACTCTCTCAGTGTGTACCTTCCACGGTTCTATTCTGGTGGTTGAGGACACTAACGAATGCCTACTTTTAACCGGCAGATATGAGTCATCGGCTACCCAATCTCGTTCGACTGTACCGTGACTGCATTTAATGGAGCTGAAGAGGATTTCTCGTGTAAATTTTAGGTCACCGTTTGGGCACAGCCACGGATGGAGGAGGTACCGATTCTCACCTGTCCGCTGCACCCGATCAAAGAGAAAGACGAGGAGGGCGTCGCGAGGGCTTTAACACCTACCAAGGCTATCCCGGTTCCCGGTGCTGCGCAAAATCCCGAAGGCCTCGTTTTGCCTGGTAAATCAGGAGAATTGGAATCGATGAGCGTGATATTTCGTCGTTCGAGTATCACCTTCAGAACCCATTTTACGTTCACTTTGGTACTGACTGATCTATCATTTTTTAAAAAGATTCTTTTTCCTTCTACAAACGAAACAAATATATCTAACAAACTCTTTATTATTTATTTCTTTAATTTACTGTTACCCTCTATACTATTTGTAAAAGCAAATTATTTAACAAAGAAAAGTACACTTGATATCTTATTGTGGCGGTACTACTTCCTGCCACTAAAGGGGTCGTTCGCATTGCAGACCCTAGTAGTCTAACTTCCCATCCTTTCCCAACTGTGTCCCCTCCTTTTCACAGCAACCGCCATAATATTTGAAACGATTGAAATTGACAAATTATCGAAGCTGATGCTCGAAGAGAGTCTCTTATCTAAAAGAAAAAAAGACGGCTTGGACATTTCGAAAATCAAAACTTTATTTTTCTGGAACAGCTTTAGTGGACGACAGGCTGCAGACGCCTTGCAACAAACCAGGAAAGCATCACTGTCCCTGCGAAGAAGAGGATGTTCCACCGCCATCGCCCGTGATCCCGCGACAGAATCGCGAGAGGAAACGTCGTCGATCGCTGCCATGTGGTCCCACGGACGCGAACAGCTGCGTGACGGTTCAACCGATGCCATCCGTGCGGGAAGCGGTCGCTCAAGAATCGAAGGAGAATCAGAGTTCAAGTTATCCGAAATGTTCGTCCGAGATTTCCAACAATCGTGGCGTGAAATCTGGCCAAAGTCAGTGTAGCAAGTTCGAGGATAACTGCAGCAGCATCAAGAATCGAAACAATTTGAACTCTGACAACTTGGAACGGTGCTTCAAGGCTCAGCTGAACATCGACGAGCGTGAAGGTAACATGGAGAAGCGTTACAAACGGACGATCGAGGATCCGAAGTTGAAGTCCGGATTGAATTGCAAAGAAAAACAATGCAACTTGGAGAAGAAGGAGGTGCAGGGAGCTGGTAACAAGAAAATCAAAGATACAGAAGCTAAATCAACAGAGAAGAACGGTCTGTTCGAGAATCTGATACCGTTCAATTCCTCACTGCCTTGGTCTTTCGTAGAATCTTGGAACAACAGCAACGCGAACGGAAAGTGTGCTTTCCAGAGCTTGCGTGGAACTAAGGAGGGTTACTTCAACGACCCTGAAAGAATCTGCAAACCTCCGGTCTCTAAGGACTCGAGCCTCGTGATAAATCCTTTCAGACAACCTAGTCCCTTTCACGAATCAAATCCAGGCCCCTCGACGAATAATCGGCTGAAGCAAGATTCCGCTTGCATGGTGCATCAGAGCTGCGGCAAATCGTCGAACAAGTCTAATCATCCGGATTCGGTGTCACCTGGACAGAAAGCCACAGAGTCGAATCTCGACGGCGTCGCGAACAACAAAGGACGAGCCGGGAAAGATCTGAGCCAATTGATATCGAAGTTGTCCTTCCCCGAAGACAAAGACAAGTCGAAGGAGGAAGGAGGCTTCTTGGATTGGTTCAGCAAGGTTCCTGGAAGAGTGCTGGGCGTCGCGCCGAGCAACGGTTACGCGGAGAACAAGGTGAAAGCTACGAACCTGAAGAGTCAAGAGCAGCAGGGGAACGAAGTGAGATTCAAGAATTGCAACCTGGAGTTGAGCCAGCAGGAGTTCGACGAGGTGTTGGCCGTTCTGAGAGCGAGGACACCGTCCGGTCGCAAGAGGACCAGCGTCAGGACCGTGAGGAGACGGGACAGGTCGGAGAAGTCGCTCGAGGACGGGTCGGAAAAGTCGACGGTGAAATATACGAACTTGGAGAACAGCGAATGCTCGACGAACAACATGGTGAATCGTACAAAATCCTGCGAGGGATGTAGCCACAAGCTTTGCAGGAAGAACGACCAACAAGCTTTACAGAAGACCAATTTCACCGAGATCTATGGCAATAAGAATATCTACAATCCGTCGCAGAAGCGCGAGAAGCTCGAGGGGAACGGATCGAGCGACGATCTGCAGGCGATCAAATGCAATAATTCGGAGAAACGAACGAACGACACGATCGACTGTTTGCAAAATGTCTCGAACAAAGCGGACATATTATTGGGAGCAATCTTGCGAACTAGCAAGGACCGAAGGAACCCCTCGGAGGTTACCAATGGGACCAAACCCAGGTCCGTGTTGCCAACACAAGTGAACGAATCGGGGAAGAGTGATCGTAACAATTTGGGCTGCGAGAAGACGTGTCAAGAGCAGAAAATCGTGTCGTTGGAGGACGAGAAGTCTTTACCAATGGCATTGAACAAGAGATTCAATCGATTCCGGCAGCTATTCAAGAAGGAACAAGAGAAGAAGGTGTCCTCGAACGCGGAGGGCAATTCGCACGAAACGATTCAACAGTTAGGTCAACGTTCGTTCTCCTACAACAACGTCCAGCCAAGCCTGCACGATCCAAAGAATCTGAGGGACAGCAAAGCGAGACGCCGAATAGATTTCTCGAATTTCGTGGAGGAAACGGAGAAACGTGACGCGTTGCCAGATCCCTCGGACCTTAGTACAAATGGCGCACATCAAAACTCAAAAACCTATAGTACAAATTACAAGGACGAACTCTGCTGTTACCACGAGCTTGAGACGTCGAAATGGCCCAACAGGCTGCACAGTACAAACGATGTAAACGACGGTACGGTCCAGCGTGAAGAAGACGACGAGGCTACCATTTTGTCGAAGCTGCGCAAGGACACCGTTCCGAATCTAGGGAAGAATAACAGTTATTTATCTTCCAAGCTACGAAACGGTGTTCATGGAAAAGACAACGCGATCATCGACGAGGAGGAGACTCTCGATAAAGCGGTACCAACAGCCATCGAGCAAGAAAGATTTCGACGCTCGTTGGAGAACGCAGCTTCTATGGTGTTCCATAGTAGGACCGGTTTGCCATTGACTTCTAGCCCAGCACCGTTGAGAAGAGGCAGCTGTTGCTTCGATTATGATAGCAGTCTGAATTCAGTCTCCTCAAAAAGAAGGTAATTTAATACACTTGGCATATTTGTATGTCGTATCGATAGAAACAAATAGCGCTAATGAAATGTCTTTCTTCCCCTATTTCAGTGCACTGTTCGAATTAAATACCCCGCCAAGTCCAGGTGCCGTATCGCTAGAAGAAACCGATAGAGAGACCGAGAACGCTGGGGAAGGCGAGGAGACACCTAAAAGACGCTCGTCTTCTCGTAGTAGACCGCAAAGTCACGCTCTTTTAGGCAGCTTTGAGGAATCAGCTTTAAATGGTAGACTCGAGCCTGTGTCCACAGTTCATGGTTTCACGGCAGAGCTCGGGGCAAGTGGTTCCTTTTGTCCAAAACATCGAAAGCTTCCAGTCACTGTGTTCTTCTACACCCTTGGTGACAATGATAAAGTTTCTACACCCTATCTCGTACGTAACAATTATGTCTCCGTTGTTATTAGCGTGTACTTATGAGCTATGTTGGTTTATTGATGCAACGACCGGTGTTACTTTTGCGTAGGCACATATTAATTTGGGCAAAAAGGGCTACCAAGTACCAAGAAGCGGTACTATACAAGTAACGCTTCTCAATCCTTTGGGTACAGTCGTTAAGATGTTTGTAGTACTATACGATCTTTCTGATATGCCGCCACGATCTCATACTTTTTTACGTCAGAGAACACTGCGGGATAAAACACTACGCTACCTCGTACATCTTAGGTGCGTACATCTCTGTTTATACTTCTGTCCAAGTTCAGTTTTCTCCAGTTTCCTGTTTCAAACGTTTAACCTTTAGAAGGCCAAAACTTTTAACCTTGGATCAAAAATGAAAAAATAAAACATAAAAAAATAAAAAAATAAGAACAAAAGTATTAAAAAAAAAACAATGAAAAGCTATACAAGTTTCTACGTCCACGACGTTAGTTCTGAGCTTATATACTTTTATAATTCAGTTTCAATAATTTGTCGTCAAAAACCTTTAACCCTTTGACCATTGAATACTCTAGGCTTTAATCAAGTCAATAACACATTACTTTTATTTTTATTTCATTTCATTTCTTAGTTTATTTTTTCATTTTTTTTCTTTTTCAGTGTTTTATCACATCATTATAATCTGATAACATATAGCGTGTAATTAATAATATGTATTGATAACTTTTATCCGATTATGATTAGGGTATACAAGAAACAAACAAACTCAAACAAACGCATATTATAGTCGGCACCAATAGCTTTCACCTGATGTATATATACGTCCGTAGCAGCCAAAGGGTTAAAACCGATACAGATAAAATTTGGAAGGTTCTAATTTTTTAACTTTTGTATCTGAACCTGAAATGAAAATTTAAATTATGACATTTGTAAATTTAAGTATGTTATGTGTATGCTGAAAATTTCATCGAGATCGGTCGATGCACTTAGAAGTCACAAGTAATTAAAATTTCCGAAAATCTCGACTTTTCACCTAAGAATGTGATTTTCGGAAATTTTAATTACTTATAACTTTTAATTGCGTTGACCGATCTCGATGAAATTTTCAGCATACACATAACTTATTGGAATCTAAAAAAGACATATTTTAATTTTTCATTATAGGCTCACATAAAAAGGTTGAAAAATTACCATTTACTATCTTTTTTCACGATTTTAACAAATTGTAATTTTTTAAAACGACAAAAGTACATATCTTAATAAATTAATTCGTGTCCCTTCTCACAAAACCTCAAGTCATTTGGTTCAATTTTAAATAAGGTATTCTGTTTTAAACGGTGTCCGAATACTTTTGCGGTTCACTGTATATGAATTTTATGTAAATAAAATACCTTATTGCTAAGAAAAAATTTTGGCCCTCTAAAGGTTAATTACTCTTAGCTAGAAAATAAAAATTAAACAGACCTCCTGTATCGTATGTTAATACCATACTCTCGTTTCAGATTTATGTCTGGTAAATCAGGTCGGATCTATTTGCACACGGACATCCGTATGATAATTTGTCGCAAGTCTGACGTCGATACGGCGTCAGATTTCGGGTCAGAGCCACCAAAGGAACTCCGCAGCTACATCCACGGCCCTACCAACCCGAAATTCTCGCCAAGGTGCTGAGCCACGTGGCTCTTTCCATGGGGTTGTTGTCAGTCGCTCCGTTCACCTAGTCCCCTTCACGCAGAGGTTTAACAAAAATGAATTTCATGGAAACGGGTGGACGTTAATTTTCAGAGTCTTCGACAACGATTTTTTCGAGGGAAGAAAGCATTTGAAATTGAGATTCCTTGGGAATCTCCGAGCAATATTTGAAAACAAAGAAGAGGTATCCTTGAATTTTGACAAGGAATGATCATTGGAAAACATTTTGATGGGATACCTTGATTATAAGAAAGAAGATGGAGCTTAATGTCATGGAAGAAAATCTTAATGTCATTGAGATTGTTATTCATGGAAGATTGATAGTATTTTGGAGAGATTCTCGCGAAGAATGTTGAAGGGAGATGTGAGCGATCGGAGGAAGAAAGTTTGAAAAGGAAACGTTTTTCTTGAATGAAATATTTCGAAAGAGTAATAAGAAAGGTACATTAATGGGAACATTGAGAATCGCTTCATGTTTCGTTGTTCAGTTCTTGTTCCTTTCGGTTTATCAGTGATTTTTAATCGTATTGCAAGGGACACACGCGTCAGCGTTAGCTTGCTCGATGTTTCTTTGATTTTAGTTTCGTAGTTGATCGAAATTTTTAGTTGAATTAAAATCTATCGTTTCGTTTACTCGATGCTTTCGAACGGATGTGGTGTTTTTTGTTTTTCTTTTCCGGCGTAACTTTTGCCCGTGACGAAAGCTTACGTCAGAAGAGTTCTTGTCTTTCAGATTTCGCGCACTCGAACGTTCATTTCAGTGGCGCGTTTTTAAGAAACAGATTTCTAGCTTGCCGAAGCTCGTGGATTCGAAAGCTGGAAGATCTCCTTTGGAAGGCCATCTTCTCAATTGTTGTAAATATAAGAGTCACGTGTAAAGTCGAATAAGAATTTTTTTAACGGGATGATAATGTCGTGTGTGTGTAGTACGCTAAAGAAGAAGAAAAAAAATAACGAAGGAAGAAAGTTAAAAAAGCGATCCGAGAGCATAGAAAATATCAAGAATCGGGTCTCTCGTTGACACGAAAAAAAGAAAAAAGGAATCCTCAAACTGTGTTGTACAAACACAGTTTGTACACCCCCCCGCCACCCCATCCAATAAAGAGAGAAAGAGAAATATGTGATCTAGAAAATCGTTTAAAATGTAATTTAAAATAGATACGATTTATCGATTCGTTGATATTTTCAGAGAAGAAAGAAAATTGAAAGACGATGCAAAGACTCATCGTTTATTTTATTAAGAAAATGAAAGAGAGAAAAAAAAATATGGTAGGAACGTGCTTTCGTGTAAAATGTTGTTTGCGATCAACGAGATGGCTGGATTACGCGACATTTCCTGCTCGAAGTAATGGAGGAAAAAAAAAATAAAAAAGAAGAAAAAAAGGATCATTATTTACACGTATAAAACAGAACACAATTTTTTGTGTCCGTAGCACTGTGATGAATATTTTGATAGACTACAAAGAGTAATTATTATAAAGTATCTATTTGAGTAGCGACTATGTCCTAGATTATAATTCATAATTGTACTAATGTCGTATGAGGAATGTAATCGAGCGTAATTTACTAACCGTTCAAATTACACGTAAAAACTATACGCAGTCACCACGAGGCGCTCAGTTATATTATTGTCTCCTCGCATCGAACGACAGTTCGTTTCCCTTATTTTTCTACGCGCGCGATAAAAGCAAAAGAAAAACAGGTTGGAACAATTTAGTTGGATTTCTTAGCTGACTCGAAACGTTTCATAGTTTTTCGAATTAATAAAAATGATCTATAGTCGCAATAGAAGTAACTTCACCAGAAAATATATCTTTTCTTTCGTCGTTTTACTGCGTTCGCTTCTGATAGAATTGAAACAAAGCGGAGACGTTTAGATGTAAAAATGGCGCAGGTTTCTTTTTGCAACTTGTCAACTGAAGTTTGCCTTTTTAACGAGAGACGTGGAATATATCGAAACAAAGCATGCCAAGTTCGTTGCGTAGCTAGGTAGACAAGACGAGCACGTTGTTGTTTGATCCGCGCCGATAATCTTTCACCCGAGTCGCACGAGACGTAGCTGAAACAAGTCAGAATTAATTAATTGGTCGAAGAGGGAAGTGTTGCGAACAATATCGAGCAACGCGCTTGTTCGCAGACCCAAATAACACTTTGGCGACCGGTGGTTCGCGTATTTGTGTCTTTCATATACGTCTAGAGATGTGCGGCCCGACAATGCGTCGGGTTTCCAATTAGTCGGGTCGGTTCGGAAAACATCGGACGGGCTCGGGCGGCCGTCCGATACATGTGTGCAGTCAGGTTCGGTTGGGTACAATCGGGCAGATTCGGACGAGCTCCCAAATTATCTTATTATTAAATTTCAAAATTCCATATAAAACAGATTTTGCAGATGCTTATTGCAAGTACTAACAAATGTATGAGAGTTGGGCCGCGGCCTGCGGGAGCTCGTCCAAATCTGCCCAACTGTACCCGACCCAACCTGACTGCATACATGTATCGGACGCCCGCCCGAGTTCGCCCGATTTTTTCTGAGCCCGCCCGAGCCCATAATATCGGGTACCCGCACATCCCTATATACGTCATAATACTTTTATTTATTTTTATCTAATATACACTAACTTTAATTTGGGAATTGGCAATTTCGCAACGTGTACCCAGGTGTAAGGGAAGAAGTCTAAATTGGCATTGCGAAAACTTTAATTTAGAAATTGGCAATTTCGCAACGTATATTCAGGTGTAAGGAAAGAAGTTTAAATTGACTCGAATGCACATTGTAAAAATTCTAAAATGCAATTTTATTGCTGATATCTCTTCTATTTGTGACGACTTTAATTAACGTCACTATTAATTTATTTTTACAACTGTATGCTAATCGACAATCTGAAATGTAATCATCCTCTGAATAGAAGTCGTCAAAGTGTTAAGCACTTTCAACGTTGCAAAACTTTTGTAGCACGTGTATTGTACGGCAAGGAAACGTAGAGTGTGTAATCACTGCCATGCTGTATATACATTGTAGCATATAGGTGAACCGTTGAATAAGAATTTAAGGGAATCTTTAGCAATAGTTCGTCGCCTGAATCGAGAGATCCCATTGACCAGAAGTCAGGAGATAAAAAAGCGTAGAGCGGGATCCGTTAAAAAATTTCTGCTCACTTTTGTTACTTTATTTAGATTTTTCTTTTTCAAGTTATCAGATATGTGATAATATTGTTTGAAGAACGGATCTTTTTCAAATCGGATCTCGCTCGTTGTACACCAATTCTTATAGCGTATTTTCCGACGATCACGATAAAAGGAATCGCTTGATAGCTTTAAAAAATCTCCACGACGCGTGTAATTAATTTTCATACGACGAAAAATCGAACACGAATATACGTGCAATTGAATGTTAGAGTTCTTTTTTTTTGGAAATTCCTGCTGATAGGATGACGAACGAGATTGTATTTTTGGAATCTACAATCGAGGATACACGACTTGTACACTAAACTCGTAGGACGCGCACTAAGAAACTTTATTATTGTGATAAACTTTTATCGGGTATAGAGAGGTCTGTGTGTTATCTTTGAAATCGAACGCATTATCTGTTGCTGGAAAATAGGCAGGCGAATTATAATTCGACGGTGCCAAACTCGATACGAGAAAGAGGAAAGGGCTATTGGAAAGGCTCGATGATGTACACCATAGACATACGTTTGGAATTCATCCCTTCGATCAATATTTTTCAAACAATTTTATTTTATTTTATTTTATTTTATTTTATTTTTAGCGATTCGTTTTAACATTCTGTTCGCAGTTGTTTTCAATTTCTTGTCTTTTAATCCGTGTTTTCGAATTGGTAGCGTTTTAAACATTGATAAAACGTAGTCCTTCTAATTTGTTGTTTTTTTTTCTGTTCTCTTTTTTTATCGTTTCATCGCTGCTGTTTCGGTAAGCTTCAATCGGCTACAACTTGATTTCTGTGAATTATCGTCGATTAGACAGACGTTTAAATAGAACATAAAGGAAAGATTCTTTGAATGTGTTGTTTAAACGACGATAATTATACGATTAACACCTGTCGATGTTAGCTATGGCTACAGAACGTTCTGTTGAGTCACCTGAGCACACTCGATGAACGGCAGGCATGTACATAAGGTAGCGTTATTTTATAAATGAAAATTATTGTTATCGCTATGTAAGACGTGTACTTTTTATTATTTAGCGAGCAGAGCGTGCGGTTCAAGAGAGAAGGAACAATTTTGTCGTACGATTCAACACTTATATTGGTACGCGCATGGCGAAACGTAATAAAAGTACAGCAATGCGTTAATAAATAATCGTGTACGTTTAATTGATGGAACAATTGTTCCATCGAAACCTTACACGAGTCCCCGTGAAACTGGATTAAAGATTTTAATTTGAATATCATCATAAAACATAACGCTTTATCTACCGAGAGCCTATTAACCCTTTCCACCCGTACGTCGCCGTACAGGCCGTACAGTTTTACCGTTGCGCTCGTATGTCGCCATATAGTCACCATCCTACATTTTCGCTCTTCTCTTGATTTTTTCCCGAAAAAATCAGATAAAGGCTATAATATATCCGACGCGTCCGGGAAGACTCATCGGATCGTGACCAAACTTGGTATGGTGATAGACCTTGACCTCCACAGTAACCACCTTGAATATTATTCGGTGCACGCTTTTGGTTTCCGAGATATGAGGTTCGAAATTTGGGTTTTGGACTTAGTCAAAATTCGATTTCATGGGAAATCTAGCACGACACCATGTATATCGGATCTGGTTGCCATAGCGACTCTTCGGAGGAGATCACTGTGAACTTTTGAATCAAGAGAAGAACGTTCTTTTCCTATCGGAAATGTAACTGGTATTATTATACATGTATTTTTCTAATTTTACTACTAAACCGGCAAGTTAAATTGTAATGTGTTCCCATAAAAATGTTTTCATTTTGATCAAATATGAAAAAAAATTCCGAGTTGATTGGTAGCCTTTTCAAGTATAAATACGAGTGCAAAGGGTTAATAGGCCTTTTGACAGTGTATCGGCTGTTATAGAAAAACCAATTAATAAACTTGTAGAAGAGGGGACAGAAGGGCGCATTTCGTTTCGGGATCGTCTGTTAGACTTGTCAGGGGGGCTGACAACAGACGAGCCCTGCCCCAGACACTTATCCATACCGTAATTTAGAAACTCCTATATATTTGAACTGCATGCCGGGCGACCGCCAGCGAGAACACTGATCCCTGATCATCTCGCCGCCACCTAGCGGTCCCTAGGTGACGTAAACCTTCTCTCCCCTCCACTAAACGCCAACAAACCTTTTGATTATTATAAATTCACAAGGAATGATCCCAAACCTAGAAATTCAAAGAATCATGAAACTTTGTGGATATGTAGGGGATTTCCTTATTAAAATGCAATTTTCATTTGCTGCCCGTTTTTAATCTAAAGGGATGAAAATCGTTCTTAAAATTTATTTTTCTCCGAAATCGTTGGAAATATTAAAAAAACCTTCATAAACAAAAGTTGTTTGCTTTAATATGTTTTTATGCTGGAACAAGAATTATTTAAAGGATTACAAAAATGTTTAAGAACAATTACCTATTGCAATATGAAAAAATACTATGTATTAAGATGAACAATTTTCACTCGTAAAGTTTTTCAATATTTCTAACAGTTTCGGAGAAAAACTCATAAAACAACCTAAATTTTAAGGGCGATTTTCACCCCTTTAGACTGAAAACGGGCAGCAATAGAAAATTGCGTTTTAATCAGGAAGAAATCCCTACATATTCACAAGGTTCTATGATCTTTTAAATTTCCGGGTTCGGGATCATTGTTCCTCAATTAAAACAATGAAAATTAAATGTACTTCAATTAAGAGGAAATTTTAATTATTTTTAATTATAAGGTAGTAGTGTGTATCTATTTTATTTATGGCCGGTGGATAATGCGTTAAGAAAAGTAGACTTTCCATCTTGTAATACGTTTATTAACAATGTTTTACAAGGATTCGCTTGGCAT